ACTATTCCTGTAGTCAATAGAAATTAAAAGACTCAACTCTTTAAATAGCCTGCAGCAATTATTGGACCACTGCATTAATTTCTCATTTGAGTAAACTGATACTCAAAATCTTACAGTAAAGACTGTTGCCATGTATGAAATGAGAAATGTCAGATGTTCAAGCTGGGTTCAGAAAAGAGGCACTAGAGATCATATTGCAAATTTACATTGGTTACAGAAACATACAAAAAAAATTCAGACGAAAATCAGCTCATATTTAATAGATTACAGCAAAGCTTTTGACTGTGTAAATCATGAAAAGAAAGGTTGATTTTAAAAGAAAAGGATTACCACAACATCTGATTGTTCTGCTGTGCACACTGCACTCTGGACAAGAGGCTATTGTTAGGACAGAATGTGGAGGAACATAACAGTTTCCAGTTGGAAATGGTATTAGACAAGGATGTATTTTATCCCCCTTTCTCTTCAATCTGTATGAAGAACATATCATAAGGAAAGCTGGATTAGATTTAGATGAGTGCAGAGTGAAAACTGGTGGAAGGGAAAGTAACAATTTGAGATATACAGAGGACACCACATTACTGACAGAAAACAGTGAAGACCTGAATCAACTGCTAAGGAAGGTTAAAACTAAATGTTTTACAGCTGAACATCAAGAACACAAACTACTAGGGAATTACATAAATTTAAGACTGACAATGAATAAATGGAAATTGTTCAAGATTTCTTGGCTCCATGAGAACTCCACCCCCTCCTCCAGCGGAGACTCCTATGGTTAGTGCGATCCCTCCCTCTTATTTTGTACTTACAAACTAAGTGCCAAGGGAATCGGAAACTTGGGGAGTCTCAAAAAGGCACCTGGGTACAGCCATGACACTGGAAAATCCAAGGGAAGGAGAGGAAGGGTGTGCTGGCATTACAAACTGATTAAGTTCAGCTGTGTTTGTCCCTGGACCTATCCAGAACTCAGTCCCAGGATTTCAGATCATATGTCCCTTCCATAAAACTTCACAATTTCCTTCCTCCTACCTTTTATAAGTGTGCCTCTTCATTGGTGTGTTTGTGTGCACACATGTGTGGTTACTTAAGGAATTAGTTCTCAGGTGCCTAGTGTAGGTTCCTCGCTATTTTATTTTTTGTTTTATTTTGTATACAATAAAATTGTCTGTGTTTACAATCACTCTCAGACACTCTTTTTATCTTAGGGTATTCCCACTGAGATCCACCCTGGTATAAACAAACTTACAAGGTTCTGTGTTATTCTTTTTTGGAATCCTTATTAAAGCTATTTCCCCCTTCTCTGTGTCCAGTTTAAAGGGAAGAAGGCGCGCATCACTATTAGCGGCTCCAAAACCGATCAGCGACATAAAGGGTCGGTGGTCAAGTTGGGTGTCTGTTCCGACTCTGAACTATGCCTTGTATTGGCTTTGTCTCAGTACAGGGCTTTCAGGGGCAATGCGGATGGATACCTCTTTTGCCATGCAGACGGTAGCCCGCTGACAAAGCACCAGTTTTGGGCTATTACAGCCCAGGCCTTTCTGGAGTGAAGTTTGGCACTCACTCATTCAGAATAGGAGCAGCATCCACTGTGGCAGTCTTAGGCTATCCCACTGCTGATATTCAGAGGGTGGGCAGGTGGCGATCAGCTGCTTATAAACGTTACGTGCGCCCTCTTCCTGTATTGTGAGTTACTGTTTGCAATGCTGTTTGCACTGTTGGATTCCGGAGTTCACTGTCATTTCTTCCTAGGAGCTGTGTTTTGTGGCAGGAGATAGATTCTCATCTCTGGACACAGCTACATCTTCTGGGTGGCTCATCGGCCCAATCGATTGGCCATTGGCTCGCAACTGGGCCTCAGCCAGTGGGCTACGGTCAAGTGAAGGGGGCGCCGAAGCCTACGCTGGCCAGGCCTCCTCCCTCTTCTGTTCAAGGACAGTTCTGCCTTGCCACCAGATGTTTTGGTTATCCACCTGGGAGGTAATGACTTGGGATTCCTGAAGGGGAAGGCCCTTATGTGGCAAGCCAGGGAAGACCTGGAATACATTCAGCACCAATGGCCAAACACAGTAATTGTGTGGTCGGCCATGATTCCACGCCTAGTATGGCATAGTACTTGGGACTCCAATGGGATCGAAAGGGCTCAGCGTAAGGCCAATGGGGAGCTTCATAATATTTTAAAGGTTGGATTGGGCCATTACTTGCTTCACACTCCAGATTTGGCTTGATTTTTCAGACCTGTACAGAGGGGATGGCGTTCATCTCTCTGAGAAGGGAAACAACATTTTCCTTCCGGATCTGCGGCAAGGGCTTAAGCTAATGTTAGGTATTCGAGTGGGTGCAGGGGCCTAAGCAGAGGCTTGACCCTTGCGGTGGCAGAATTAGGTTTAAATAAAGTTCAGCGGCTATGTAAGCATCAATTAATAACCCCTCGGGGGTAGAGGGGTCTGCAGGATCAACCCTGCAGCCATGCGGCCAGGGATGAGGATTGCAGACTGCCTATGGGGATGGCCACAACGAAGACTCAGCGCTGGCCATGCGGTGGTGTTTGAGGGCTCCTGAAGGCACATCCCAATCATTGGCTCAGCTGGGTTTGCAAGCAGCTTACAGTTGGCTCCAACCCGGGGCCGTGGTGTCTTGCCTTTTATACAGTTAAGGATGGGGTCAAAGCCTTGACCATGCCACTGTTTCATGTTTGCCCTTGCCGTTACTTTAACATGTTAATAAAGTGGCCTTATTTTATCCAACCTCTGTTGTCTGACTCTTTCTTCTGTCTGAGAGGGCAATTGTGCACAGTATACTAAGATAACTATAAAATAAAATAATTTGCAATTAAGAAAAAAGGTGACCAGGATAAAAAAGGGGGGTAAGGTATTGTTTAGAATCGCCCTGTTTGGTCAAGTTACAACCTCTAAAGAGAAAAGGAAGAGCTGAAAACAGATGATGGCAAACAATGGATTATGCAAAAAAACACCATGTTTCCTTCCAAGTGTTCTAGGCTTTTACTTTTGTAGAAAAAACAGGGAATTTGTGCCAGCACATAGTCGGGTGCAGGCAAATTCTACTCTGCATCCCATTAAATCTCAGAGAAATGGCCCACTAGGCTTAGTATACCTTATTGATGATAGAAGGAACATAGCAGTCTGCCTTTAAACTACCTATGAGCTCTAAGGCTGGTAGATTGATAAGAACACCCAGCAGAGCTATCCATGGCTTTGATGGATCATTGGTATTAACTGTCCTAATCCTGAGTATGTTTGACAGACTGAAGTATTGAAAGGGATCTTGTGTTCTTTCATTAATTTCAAGGAATATGTGTGTTTCTTGTTCACACTCTTAGAGTTAAAGTTATGCTAGTATAGCGAGCTATTTCCCAATATTACATCATTATACATCATTACACATCCTCTAATTTGACACCTGACAGCCAGGATTGTTGCTCTTGTTCACATATTTGAACCAATCTCTCCTATTAATAATCGTCATTTGGGGTGGCAAGATTGCATGTGCCCCCAAATCCATTGGCTCTCTCTCATCTGCCAAACTGCCAATCAGAAACTGTTGCCACCGACCCAACCACAGAGGCATAGCCTGCCGAAATTCCCCTCAGAACACCGCATCTTAGGTTTTAGTTACTAGTGGTTTTCTTTCCTTTCTCCTTAGTTGTAGCCTCCCCTCCCTAATTTTTGGTTATAGTTTGTAGTCTTTTGAAAAAACCAATAAAAAACTCCCCTTAGGGGGACTTAAAAAAAAAAAAGAATACCGCTTCGCCTGAGGAGAGAGAACATTTGCCAGGAGAGCCATTTCCCTGTGGAGCCTTTCTTCATGCTTCTGCCCATCGTGCACCGCCAAAGGTGGCAAGCTGCCACAAAGCCGGCTGGGTCTGGGTAGGCCTACCACCCACTTCGCCATGTCCACAGCCTGAGACTTGGTCTCCTCTGCACGCAGGCCACAGGCCCTCCCCGAGCCCTCCTGGGCCCGGCCCAAGTGCACTCCTCACCCACCACCCCTCCAGTTCAGCCACCAAGCTCACCCCGCTCCCGCCGGGCCACAACTTGGCCACCTGGCAACTCGCGCTGCCAGCAGCAGGTGTCTGGGACCGCCACCAGCACAACCGGCAGCCTTGCCCCTCTCCCGCATGCAGGCTGTGGGCCCTCCCCCTGACATCCTGCCACAAGGTTCCCGGGCCCAGCCCAAATGCACACCTCAGCCGCCGCCACCCAGACCCCAGGAACCGCTGAGCAATGCTCCCCTGCTTGGTGATTGCCAGCAGTGGCGCCATGGGCCCCCATTTAAACTGCCTGCATTGACCCACTCCAGCCGGGCCGTGACTTGGCCACCCGGCAACCCGTGCCGCCAGCAGCGTATGCTGGGAACCACCAGGGAGAGGCCCCTTTCTCACCCAAGTGCCACCACCAGCCTTGCCCTGCTCCCACATGCAGGCCGCGGGCCCTCCCCCAGCTGTTCTGACACAAGCCGCCACCAGTGGCCTGTTCCTCAGCCAAAGTGCGCGCCTCAGCCACAGGACGATGCTTGCCTGCTCATGATCTCCAGCAGCGGTGCCATGGGGCCCCGTTTCAGCTGCCATGCTTGCCCCCCTCCTGCTGGGCTGTGACTCTGCCACCCCGCAACCTGCCCCACATCGCCCTAGCACCACCACCAGCCTTGCCCCACTCCTGCCGGTGCACGACTTGCCCGCCCAGCCAGCTGCACTGAGAAAACAGCACCCAGCACTGCCCCTACTGCCCCCCAAGTACGAGAGGCAGCCAGGGATGGACCACACCACCACATTGGCCCAGAACCCACCAAGGCCCCCCCGGCCACAGATGGAAAGTTCACCGAGTGCTGTTCCAAAGGCAGTGTTTCTCTACCAGACATTCATAGTGCTCCCCTAATTCAGAAACTCATGAGTGGCCAACATGTTCATTCCAACAACTTCATGCAACACATCAGATCCATTAACAGCAGTCTTGCATTTGCATTCGATGGGTTCTCAAATCCAGCCACAACCAGGATACGGCCCTTACTGCTTCAGAATTAATGGATCCATCTACCATCGTGCTGGAGCACTACATCCTGACAATGATGAGCCTAGAAAATATGCACAGCTGTACATCCTGTATTCTGATGATGCTGCAACAGCTGCAACTTCCAGAGATTCAGGGATGCAATGCAAAACTACTGCAGATCCTGAGTGCATGGATGGCCAGTAACAACCCCTTTGCTGATGCATGCAAGATGCTGTATGAGGTTGAGCAGGAGAGCACTCAGGATGCTTACCTCAACCATGCAGAGCCTTCGACAGTGACCGTGGCAATCATTCATGACCATCACAATGATCCCTGGAGATACAATGCCCCACATTGCAATGAGGTGGCCATTGTTTTCTAGAATGCAGATGGTGAGCCTCCACTCCACCAAGACCTATTGATTCACTGCCGTTCACAGAACAATAGTGGCATTAGAAAAACAGAACAGATCAGCATCCTTGACCCTAACTTGGAACCCCTGGTATATCCACTTTTATTTCCACTAGGGGATCAGAGTTGGGGCACAGATATTCCATTGCAGCAAAGACCAAAAAGTTTGCTTGCTGTCAACTCTGTGTCTGCTAACCCATGATCAAGAGTGACTCAGATGCAGTATTACCAATACCGTCTGGCAACAAGACATACATTCAATCCTTTTCTATTAGCAGGGAAACTAACACAACAATACATTGTAGATGCCTATGTCAAGGTTGAATCAAACAGATTAAACTACATAAGACAAAACCAAACTCTACTTTGTGTGGAGAAATACAAAGGCCTTATGGATCATCTGCAGAATGCTGAAGACGATTCTGAAACACTGCCAGGCAAAGTACTCATCTTGCCATCTTCATTTCCAGACAGTCCATGGAATATGATGCAGAACTACCAGAATGCAATGGCTATTGTTCGAGAATATGGCAAGCCAGACCTTTTTATCACCATGACTTGCAATCCAAAAGGGCCAGAGATCACAGAAAACCCACGAGGCCAACCACCCCCACACCGACCAGATTTGGTAGCTCGCATTTTCCACCTAAAGCTCAGAGCCATGATGAAAGACATTACCAGAAAACATATTTTTGGAGTCATAGTTGCACATGTTCATGTGATTGAATTCCATAAAAGGGGCCTTCCTCATGCTCACATATTATTCATATTAAAAAAGGAAGACAGACCAGAGACAGCGGAGCACATTGACAAGATTATTTGTGCAGAGCTTCCAGACCGGGAATTATATCCAACTCTGCATGCACCCGTCCTTAAGCATATGGTTCATGGGACGTGTGGGAAAACACATCTCAACTCACCATGTATGAAAGATGAGAAATGCACAAAAGACTATCCAAAAAGTTACCGGACATCAACTACAGCCAAAAAAGGGGGTTATCCCATTTACCGCCGTCGGACATCTGGAACTACTACTACCCCAACAGGACACTCCATTGACAACAGATGGATTGTGCCATACAACCCATACCTACTTTTGAAATACAGCTGCCACATAAATGTGGAGGTTTGTGCTTCTCTGCAGAGTGTCAAATAGTTCTTTAAGTACAGACTTCCGGTTATGGCTGCGCGCCCGACGACTGACTCTCGGGTTAGCTCCCGGAGTCAGATCGCCCACACGCCGTCTGGAGGGGTCCCGCGTATGCGGAGATCCTAAGGAGCCCTTGTTAAAGGGCTCCGAACCAGGGGGCGCATTTGGGAGATTGGGGGATGCCTCTTGCCGGCACGAAAAGCCGGGAATTGAGGCTCCTCCGCTAAAGTCTCCCTTGCCCCAAACGGCTCCAGCCGCCGGCGAAGCGGAGTGGTGAAGCGACAGAGATTGATCCGAAAACGAAGCTGAGCGAATAATTGTAAGTCGACGTCGTAAAGTATAGGCTGTTAAAAGGGCTCCCCACCCCACCCCGGAGAAGCGGAGAAGGGAGGAGGGAGGATTCCCCCCACCCATAAGAAAGACTTTTAAAATGCCAAAAAGGGGGGCGAAGCACAAGATTGTATAAGCGCCTTACCTTCTGGGTGGGAGAGAAAAACGGCAGTGCGAGAGCCATCCAGGAAAGTTGTGGCGAACACTTCCAAAGTATAAACAAACTTGCAACATGGCGGGGATGAGGAAAATGCAAGAAAAGCAGCCCAAGAAGCCAGGCGGGACTTCCTGTCCTAGCCCCTCCACTGTAGGAACTGCTGCCAATCAACCAGATAGTGAACTTGCTCGCCATCTGCTGGCAGAGCTGCAAAAAATCAATCAAAAACTTGATTCTATGGAAGGGGCCTTTGGATTACAGCAAAAAAAGTTGACAGAAACAGCCGAAAAGGTAGATGACATTGCTAAGAAGTGCCAGGTATCTGCTGATAAAGTTCAGACAGTCAAGAGGAAGGTCTGTAAAATGGAAAAGCACCAAGAAAAACAAGAAAACAAAGTGCTAATGCTGCAAATGGAGAAATCAAACTTAATTCTCCGATTCCAGGGATTAAAACAGGAAGATGGAGAGGACCTGAGAAATATCTTGGCCAAAGCTTTAGCACCACTGATTGGCAACGAAGTGGAAAAAATAAAAGAAGAGATGGACGTGGCCTATAGGGCCTACTCCAACTTTACAAGAAAAAATAAGTTGCCTGCAGAAGTGGTTGTGAAATTCACAAAGCAGCGTCTCAGGGACCAAATTTTGAAGACTACGTCAGCGTCACCCCTGAAAATCGGAGATCAGCAAATTAGGATTTTGAAAGATGTTCCATTTGAAATTAGAATGAAAAGAAAGGAATACAAAGGATTGACCACCTTCTTACAAAAACACCAAACGGGATATAAATGGCTGATACCCGAAGGACTGACTTGAAGAAGAAGCGGCTCTGGCCAAATGGATGTCAACACTAAGCGTGGATGACAGCAGCTCAGAGGGAGAGGTGAAGGACGAGGATGCTGAAGGAGCGGTGGGAAAGTACAACCTGAGAGAAAGAGGAAAAGACCCCAAAGTGTAAAAACTCTCGATTTTTCTTTTTAATTATCGGATTGTACTCTGGAAGAAGGCCCTCTCAGAAGGACATTACTAACAAATTAAGTACCTTGCTTTACATTAATTAGAAGAACAGAAAGACGTCTGACGATAGAGACTATGGATTGCGAGCTTTGAGTACTAACAGACTAACTAAACTAATACCATTAACACCACTCATTCTTTTCTTTATCCCTCTATATACCCATCCTTTTTTTTCTGAATTTAAAAGAAATATCTCTCCTTTTTAGGAGAGGGAATAAATCTTATAAATAATAATAATTAATTAAAAAATACTTCTTTAAGTACATATACAAAGGACATGACTGTGCAAATGTCAACCTAACAGAGCAGAATACAAAGTATGATGAGATTCAACAGCACTTGAATTCAAGGTATGTTAGTGCACCAGAGGCTATATGGCGCATCCTTGGATATGACATGCATCACCACTCCCACTGCATTATTCGGCTACCAGTTCATCTACCAGATGAGCACACTGTAGTATTCAACAGTACAGACTTGGAGCACCATTCTGAAACCATTGTGGAGACAGAGAGATACAATGCTCACAGCTTGGTTCAAACTAAATGAAAACACAGACTCATCTCGAATCATTCCATACCCAGACATCCCAAAACAGTACATATTCGATAGACTTACCAGACAATGGCTGCCCCCAAAACAGCTTCTGATCCTGAGCGATACTGCTTGTGACTCCTCCTTGGACACACCAGTTATGAGGACCTACGGACTGTCAATGGCGTATGCTTCCAGACCTTCTGTGACACGGCCCTGTGTAAAGGCTTAATCAGTGATGATGACACATGGTTGAGAATATTGGAGGAGGCAGTTGTTTGCAGCATGGCTAGGCAGCTGAGAGACCTGTTTGCCTAAATTCTCATCTTTGCTTCACCATCAAATGCTGCTGATCTATTCAATACATTTAAGATTCACCTGTGGGAAGACTTTGCACACCACCATAAAGATGGCCACTCTGACAATTATGAACTCAGCCGCGACCCTAAGGGCCATTGAGAACACTTTGCGAGTACACAACAAGTCCTGTGAAACATGGACTCCCTAAAGTGACTGCCTTGGGACCATGCTATCCATGTACTAACTATCCAGTGACAGCATGTTCTGACAGTACAATGAACAGCAGAGATTGGCCTATGATATTCCTCTTGCTGCAGCAGAGAACAATAACCTTCCAAGTAGATGCTTCTTCCTCAACGTACCTGGGGGTGCTGGCAAAACTTATCTTTACAAAACCATCATGACAACCATCTCACGAAAGAAGGGTACTGTTTTGCCTATAGCATCTACTGGCATTGCTGCTAACCTTTTTTGTGGAGGAAAGACATATTATAATATTTTCAAAATAACTCCACCTCTAACTGAAACTACAATTTCCAATCTAAAGCTGAACTCTCCTGAAGCTGCAACCATCTGCACAGCAAAAGCCATTATTTGGGATGAGGCCACAATGGCACCTGCTGTGGCTTCAATAGCGGTGGACCACATTCTCCAAGACATCATGAACAATCATAGGCCTTTTGGAGGAAAACTAATAATACCTGGAGGTGATTTCCAACAAACACTACCAGTGGTCAGGCATGGGGATAGAGTGCAGACCATAGAGGCTAGCATCAAAAACCACCCTCTGTGGTATGACTTTCAAGTCCTAACATTAACCAATAATGTCCGATCAACAGATCCATCTTTCAGTGAATGGCTTCTGTGTCTTGGAAATGGGGACCATGACACAGCTGAGCCTTTGGGGAGGGCGGGATATAAATCCAATAAATAAATAAATAAATAAAAACTCATGGTCTGGGAACTGACTTCATTGAGATTCCACAGTATATAGTGCATCATAGAAACATATCTACAGAAATCTTTGGAGACACCTTGGAAGCCTCAGATTCCCCCAGTTTTACAAAAAGGGCTATTCTCTGTCCAACCAACTCAGATATTGAACTGCTGAATGACAGTGTTCATAGCCTACTTCAGGGTATCACAACAACTTACTTAAGCTCAGATTCCATAGTTCCTGATAGTGCTGCTATTGATGACCAGTACTACCCAATCGAGTTTCTACATTCACTCACTCCATCAAGAATGCCTCTCCATATTTTGTGTTTGAAGGTTGGAGCAATAATAATGCTTCTAAAAAACATCAATACACAATGAAGCCTATGCAATGGGACAAGACTGATTGTCACTGACCTCAAACCCAATTTGATCATTGCAAGAGTGCTTACTGGCTCTGCAAGTGGTGAGATACTGTTTATCCCACGTATAGATCTTGCCCCCACAGACGTTGAACTTCTGTTTACATTACGAAGACGGCAATTCCCTATTAAGCTCACCTTTGCCATGACCATTAACAAATTGCAGGGCCAAACTCTGGAAAAGGTGGGTGTTTACTTACAAAACTCAGTTTTTGCACACGGCCAATTGCATGTTGCTTTCTCAAGTGTGCATCACTTCCAAGACCTCAGAGTGCATATCATTGATGGACCCCAACAGGGAAAACTCCTACCAGACTCCGACAGACTTTTCACCAAAAATGTGGTCTACAAGGAGATCCTGCAGTCGTCATAATCATTATTCCACATTCCTCTTAAAAATACCTCTCAGGCTTGGAGAGCTCTATATGCTTACTAATTTCTTTCATGTAAGACCACTGTGTGGACTGCTGACCAATTTCTCCAGGCACTATGGTTACATGTACAGCCTCCCTCTTACCCTGAAACCATCCAGCCCTAACCAGTGTTGCTGGCAAACATACCTCAGCCACATTTCTCTGCCATCAAAACCACCTTTCACTTCAAACCTGACATGGGACCACTACAAACTAATAGAAACACCAGCCTCATTGCTGCTGTTAACTGACCTTCCTATGCTTACAGAAGAGAGCATCAGTGATTCCACATCTTGACAACCCACCATGCAAGACACAGAACTCACTCCTGAAAAACATTACCACGAAAAAGGAACAAGGGCAATATACCTATAGTAGCTCTGCAAACTGCAAGATGCATACAAGCATTCCACTGCGCACAGAGTGCCAAAGACAACCTGTACACACTCTGACCTCCAATGCTCAGACACCAGTCATCTGCTCCTCCTCATTCAACCCATACTTGCGCAACACTGAAGACACTGCCTCGCCCGAAATGACTATCATCAACCTCCTCGCCAAACAAAAAACACTCATCGAAATGCCACAGATGTCGAAGCACTGTGAAATATATGCCACTCCGCACTCATCACAACAATCTCCCGCATTCCATTTTGCCTTAGGCAACATCACTCATGACCATTCACTCCCACCAGACAGATGCGGAACAACAGACTACACCTGCACTTTGTTCAGGCAATTCACGTTGCATGTGACATACCCTGTGCTGGAAACTTCCCCACCTGCTTTCCTGAAACCACTATGACTACATAAGATATTTGCCTGCTGTCCTCGTCACCTCTCAATCACTCCTATTACATCTGGCTTTGCCAAACACTGATCTTCACTTTAAAAATGTTT